AGTTGCTTTTTTTCTCTTCTCCCCTTTCTTACGTTTTGATGAATTTGAAGAAACTGGAGGTCCCTGGATGTAAAAAGATGACTTCTGAGTATTTTGATTCAAAGAAACTGCAGTATTATACAATTATATCACAGATAACCAACCTTTGCCATTGAAATAACACCAAGCAAATTAATTGCACTTTTTCTAGCCGTAGACAAGTCTTCTCTCCATCCAGAAATTTCTTCCTTGGGAATTTTGCACATCTTACAATAAGACAACACCTTGGATCTAAAATATAGTAAATTGATGGAACTAAATAGCATGCACATACAAGCTCAGAAGGAAGATTTTTCTTTATGTACTCCTCTGGATCTTCATCCCACTCTGACATGTCCTACATCCAAACTTTCAGGCTTCAGTAAAGGAATAGTATTTTAAAAAGGCACATTCTTCTTCATCAATGTGTCAACAAGTGCATTTAGTAGTGTAAGTATGTGCCTGCATAGGAAGAACGAATAATATAACGAATCATGCTGTGAAAGCTAGAATATCTGACCTTCGTATTTCTCACTAAAGCTGGGAAGATCGCAGAGTCTAACAAAGAAGAAAAGTGGGGTGAAACTACTCTCCATCCCTGTTCACAAATTAAAGAAGAACACTGAGATAAGAATCTAATGGAGCAGCAAGCTAGAATATAGTAATTTGAGATATCAACAGAAACATCACTTAAATTTAATGAAAAATGTGAATAAAGAAAACATTATTCTGATGATTTATGTTGTTACTATTTTCATGGGAAAGAGCGAAGCCTAGTCAAGATGCAGCGCAAGGCAACAACTAAAAAGTGATGCATAACCATTTAAGGAAACAGAGAACACTTGCCTGGCCTGTCTCCAGAACACGAGAAATAACATCAAAAGCCAATGAAACAACCTTCTCTGACAGAGAATCCAGTGTCTGCACCCAATAACAGATAAAAAACATAATGAAAGCATAAATATGACAATAGTAGCGAGCAAGAAAAGAAAAGCATCTGTTTGAAGAAAATTTAAAATGCAAGTATGATTAGGAATATGAAATTGTTTGTAAAGGAATACTGAAAATCCAAATTCCTTTATCAATTTATCATAGTAAATTTCTCATGTATTCCATAATAGGATTGCACTCACACTTATGTTTGTACTATGCTTGACTATTTTAGTGGCGCAGTCCACAATGTCTGGCATCAGTCTGTCAATATAAGATTATAAGGTTATCACAGTTTCCATCTTTTCCATCTTATCAAATACAATAGATTTCCTTCTTTGTGATTACTTATCAGAGATCTTCCGGTGACGGGTGACTAGAACCGAAAAAATAAGTAAGCTCCTCTTCCCTGTCTTCAGTCTGAACAAATCGCTTTTGCAATTCACCTCACCATCAAAACTTAAAGAATTTAAAACTTTTAAAAGATCTCGACAAATTGAAGGAAGCAGTGGAGCAAGAGCAGGTGGCATATGTGACCTCACCTATCAAATAAACATAAAAAAGATGAAGACAGTGCTACTCTAATAACAGGAAGGTAACCCAACAACTGAACTGAAACAAGATCCACAGTGGTCAAACTAGGTCAGTGTTTTACATGGCTAATCATGTCTATTCAAATAAATTTGGAGTAGTTATGCAATGCCTAGAAAACATTGAAATGGATGAAGCATATCCTCACAGACAAATAGATGCACTTGGTAAATATGAGAATGCTGTGAATTTCTGCTTCTGCAATATCTTGGACATGCAGCACCTGTTTCATGCACAAGCAGTATTGCCAATGCTCTGTTAAGAGAAAAATTTCTAAAGCAGGCGGGTTTGTATGGGAAACAAATCAGAAATAAACCTTTTCAACGAAGTGATGAAAAACTGCAAATAAGGGTACTAGTATCTCCTTTGCTATAAGCTCTAGCTGAGGAGGAACAGGCTCCCTCACAATTGTAGGACTCAAGAAGTACTGTGATAAATCAGACAAGAGAACTTACATCAGACAAAAAGTGGTTTAAGGTAAAAGTTCTGGTCAGTTAAAAGAAACACATACTTCACAACCTTCAACTAAGACAGTGTGTGTTCCTTACTTATGAAAGTTAAGCATGAGAATGCAACTTTGTCAAGTTTTGGAAGAGTATGTAGTAATCTTAACATTAGATTGAAGAGAAGATGCTAACTATATTTGGTTTGGTATTATTTCATCAGGAAACCTTTTACACTATTGATCCTGTAATTACTTCACTTAAATAAAACAATATAATTCCCAAATTTTCCATTCTTACTTCATAAAATATAGCTATGGAACACAGGAAATGAATCCAGTAAACTATTGTTTATCATTTTATTAGATCTGGTAATCAAATAATTTTAACATCTAGACTGCACACAATGTTCTAGTAAACAATGGAAATGGTGATAATTAACTATATAAACGAGTAAAGGGTCAGTTTGGTCCTCGAAGTTGCAAAAAAGGCGTCAAATAAGTCCTTATACAGAAGATTTTGTCCGGACGTGCCATTTGAGGTGGCTCCCGGTGGAATTTTGTGATAAATTTTTTTGAGCATCTTATTCATTAAGTCTAGTTTACTCATACCAAATTTCAGCTAAAAATTCAATCGGGAAGACATTCAAATGAATTCTTGAAGATAACAGCGCTTTTAACGGCACAGTTATCTTCAAGAATTCATTTGAATGTCTTCCCGATTGAATTTTTATCTAAAATTTGGTATGAGTAAACTAGACTTATTGAATAAGATACTCAAAAAATTTCATCAAAAAATTCCACCGGGAGCCACCTAAAATGGCACGTCTGGACAGAATCTTCTATATAAGGACTTATTTGACCCCTTTTTTGCAACTTCGAGGACCAAACTGACCCTTATCCCCTATATAAACTAAGCAAAGAAAGATGTGTTAGTTTGAGACCATGAGAAAACTAATACTGAAGCGAGGATATTAATGAGGATCAGGTCTTTAACACATCCATCCTAAGAAACATGTTGCACACCAATGTGTGCAAGTGATTAAAACACACGATTGCTTTGATAAGTTTTATATTGCCCCCCCTCTGTCCCTTAAAAGTTTAACAAGTTTGACCGGGAAATGGAATAATAAAGTAAAAATTGTACGATAGATGTGTATGCAAATGAGAGAGAAATAAAGGGACACAAATTAATTGATTAAAAAGGAAAGTGACAAAATTTTTGAGAAAAAAAAATGAAAGATGGCAAAGTTATAAGAGATGGAGTCACGGAGAGAGTATATTTTAACCAATATTGTAAGAACTTGAAGACCTACTACTTTCATACTTTCATAAGAAAGTATACTTTAGTGGATAACTTCTTTATTGAAATTATATTAGCTAGGTTTCAGCTTTAATCCCTATCCTTTCCAAGTTCTGAATCTGAATGCACAGTTTAGAATATTCTCACATATGTGTGTGTGTCTTTTTCGGGAGAAGTTATCCAAAAGATGAAGAATGAGACAACTTCTTATAAAGATCACACCATGCTGATAAGTGGTCTTCAATTTGGTGTAACAACAAATACCTGGAATGGTCTGATCAGGGATTGAAGAACAGTGAGTGAGTTGATAGTTTTCCATTCTAAATTTCCATTATCACTAATCAAATTGCTGTTTTGGATAACAAATCTCAGTTCCGGTACTAGTTCTGGCCAGGAGCTCTTGTTCACAAACTCGATAGCGATAATTGAGTGGAACTGAAATCAGACATAAAACAGATTAACATCCTTAGAAAGTTGACTATCATTTCCAGCGGACCAAATACAATGCCCAAAACGGCAATACACACACACCGCTTCGATCAAAACATTGAGAATTGCAGGTTCTGTTTGAAATAAGGCACGCATTAGAGCATCTCTGAACTCCTTGCTGAATTCCGGATTTGGACCATTAGCATTTCTCCTGATTAAGTTCTTGAGATAGGTAGCGGAAGCTAACTTTTGGCTTTCTGTTTCACCACCTATGCAAAGAGGATTAAATGCAACAGTTTAAGATTTAAGTCCTACTTAACTGCTAAGCCAAGTTAAAGCGTGGGCGGAGAGATGCATTAGTACCTGTAACGATAGAAAGGAGGGACGTAGGAAAAGTGGGAAGTGTAGAGAGGCGGCCGAGAGCTTCAGTGGCTGAGTTAACAACATTGCCATCGGAGCTCAAGGTTTGACTGAGAAGGTGAGCGATATGGTGGTTTTCCATAGCCGGATGAACAAGTGACGGAACCCTAACTGGAGCCGTAGAGCGGAGTTATATCAAAAGATTCGCGCGCATTTTATTCAATAGTCCCGGGTTAAACAACTTCACATTCCCTTGTCCCGTATTAAAATGAAGTTGGACTTAGCAACGTGTTTGATCAAATAAGGCGCCTTTATTGCGGGAAATTATATTGAGTAGAGTAGTAGACTACTCGACTCCACTCCTATGTTGCACGGATACGGATACGCCGATACTCGGATACGCGGATATGAATACGGCGATATGACACTTTCAAAAATTATAGGATACGGGTACATGAGTATATTTATAAATAAAAAATATAGGGTATAATTTGCAAATATATATAATTCAGGGATTCATAAATAAAATAATAATAGTACAAAAACTTAACTATTATAATAAAGTTTCAAAGATTAGTCTAAAAAACCAAAGTATTGATATTTTGATTTAAATTCTGTTGAGGTTTATTCCTTCAACCCTTGGACCCAACACGTAAGCCCAAAGATTTCGAGTGGAGTGAGTGTGTGGTTATCTAGCCCAACAACTATCAGATGAATCAGGAAACAAGAGTAATAGCAGGCAATGTAAATAGGTATTATTAACTTCGTAATAACTCCCCTAAGTACAATCTACTTGCTAAAAAGGGCACGTCGGCCGTTCGTCTTACAAGGCGATAGAAATGCTACTCGTAAGAATGCTGGAGCTAGTATGCTAAGAATAGAAAGTTGCCAACCCTTTACAATGAAATAAATGCTTCTATTTATACCCGCCAATGGGCAGGTGGCTGTACTGACGTGGCAGCCTGTGGACCGCTGGTGTCCCAACTACCAAATCTTTAGCATTAAATGCACTTCCCGCCAGAATCTAGGTTTCCCGCCGGATCAGTGGGGACGTTCGTCCACCCCGGAAGTGAGTTGGATTGCTCCAAGTGACCCTTGAGGGATATCGGCTGTTCGTCGCCTGGCCTTAATAGATACTCACCATGTGCACTGGGTTTTCCTCGATGACCACAGGCTTGCTCCGGGGACGTTCGTCGCCATCCCCGCTGGCCCGTGGTTCTGCTCTTTGTCTCTGCACAGACGTTCGTCGGAATGAGCTGCTGGGCCTGAGTCCCCCAACACCAGACGTTCGTCCATCCTCAAGAGACATGGGCCTGTGGGCTGGCCTGGTTTCTAGCTGGACGTTCGTCTGGCAAAATGGGTTAGTGGGCCGGACCTCGGCTTGGGCCCTTAACCCAACACAAGTCCCCCACTTCTGATGTTCTGAGCATGCGCAGGACATAAGGAAGTATGAACCCCCCCGAAGTAGACGTCCGTATCTTGATACTTATGTTTATTGCATCTGGTGGAAGCGTACGCTCGTGGTCATGGTGCTTGACAGCTGTCGCCGGTTCAGGAAACGAGGTGACGGCTGATGTTGCGGCGGTGCATTTTCCCGAGGAGGTGTCATCATTACGTTCCCATCCCACGCACAGCGCGTGGCCGGGGTACGCTCCTTGCCACGTGTCGGCCCCTTGTTGGCTTCGCCCTCGGTGTTTTCTCCTTGAAATACCGGGTTTTCCCTCTGAATTAGGGTTCCCAATTTCTGCTCTCTTGCTCCCGATTTTCCGCAGCTCTTCAAGTCTTCTTCTGAATCCGGCTAACCCCTTTGTAAGGTAATTTCCCCCCTCTGCTCCTTTTCTTGTTCTGATTCCTAGCCGAAATGACCTCGATGGAGATTTCGTCAAGCTCTGATTCCGGTTCGTCGGGTTCCTCCTCGGGCTCCTCTTCGGCCGATGTGAGTGCTCGCTCCCCCGGGAAGGCCAGCATTTCCGGGACCTCTGGTTCAGCCACGACGGTGGGGACCATCCGGGCTGATGGCGAGCCGGATAATGTGTCGCAAAGTAGTGGGAGCGACGCCGGGGACGGGGGTGCTGACGGGGCCGTAGATGTTATTGACGCCGTCCCCCTGAACGAGCGCCCCGCCGGTTATGATTCTGCAGACGAGGCCCAATCTGGCTCCGACCTGGAGGTGCACGATTTAGGTATTCCCATGGATGTGCAGAGGCACATTTGCAAGATTAAGAGTGTCTTAGAGCACAGGCAGTCCCTCTCCAGCGTCGCTATGAACAAGATTGCTTCCTTCTTTCCCCATCCGTTCGTCTTTAGCCATAGCGGGGCCGAACATGCCATGCGGCGACGGCCGGGGATGATCATCCTGCATGTGGATTCTGTGGAGGCCGGTCTGCGGTTTCCTCTCCATCCCTTTTACGTGGAGTTCTTCAACTGCTACCAGGTGGTTCCGGCGCAGTTCATGCCCAACTCTTTTAGATTTATCTCCGCATTCCTCGTGCGCTGTTCGTCCGTAAAAGCCGTCATATCGCTGGATCTGTTCCACTACTTCTACCGGGTCACCCCGCAGAATTCCGACGGTTACCTGAGTGTGGCCGCTCGTCCGAAGAGGAAGCTATTTGAGCACTATCCTTCCTCCATCCATGATTGGAAAAATAGGCTCTTTTTTCTTAGATATGACGGTCCTCCCCTCCCAATCCGGTGGAACGGCTACCCTCCGAAGATTGAGTCGCCGGCGCTGTCGGCCGGGCTGGAAGTGGAAGTGAAGAAAGTCCTGGAAGGCGGCGTTCGCCCTATAGGGGAATACCTGACCGTCGAGGCACTCTCTGAAGCAGGCATAGGTACCGCCCGTGTTCCTGGATTTCTTCCTCCCTTGGACGCTCGTCTCGGGGCACGGGCGGTCCTGTCCTCTGAGGTGGGTGTTCCTCCCTATCCCTGTTCGTCTTTTCATATTCTTGTATTTCTCTCTTGCAGGTCTCCCCCTTTCCGCCGAACAAATGGACAATGCTGAGTGCCTGAGGAACAGGAAGGCGAAGATGGCTGCGGCCAAAGCGGCCAGAGAGGCAGCCGCCCATGGAGCCGGATCATCGGCCTCCGACGCCGCCCGTCGGACTGCAGACGGTGAGCAGCACCTGATTGCCACCCTGCTGAACGAGGGGGCCCTGACTCATCATGCTGAAACTGCTCTCCCCCCGCCGGTCGTTGCCACAAAAGTGGTTCCCAAGAAGGGGAGCGAGAAGGCCCCGGAGAAGAAAACGAAGAGGGGGCGAGACTGTGTTTCCCCCGGCCCCATCGTTGAGGATGTTAGCGGTCTATCCCTGAGCCGGCCGGCTGAGGAGCTTTGGAGGGAGCTCGGGGCTAAAGCCGGCCTCGAACTGCCCCCCCCGGTCGTCTTCCGAGGCGACCAGCGCTGCTCTTGCTGCGGCCATCCAGGTATTGTTGCGATTCGACCCATCTTGTCCCCTTGACGCTCGTCGCTTCGCCGTCTAAACTCTGTTTATCCCATTTTTTCTTTCAGTCAGGGCTGTTGGTGCTGCAGGCCGAAGCTGCCAGGGATGCCGCCCTGCAGGAGGCAAAGATCAAGGCCGAAGCCGCCATACTGAAGGCTCGGGAGGCCGCCCGTCGGGCAGAGGAAGAGGCTGCTTCGGCTAGGGAGGAGCTTCAGTCCCTCCGGGCTGAAACCGGCGCCCAATTGGCCTGCCTGGAGAAGGCCGGCTTCAAGCTCATGCCGGTACTTCCGGCCCCAAAAGATGCCACCCCGGAATGGCGCATCAATACCTCCGGTTACCGGAATACCGGCGAGTTTATGGAGTCGGCCAAGGACTTCTGCGCCGGGGCTTTTGGCGACGTGTTCTCTCATGCTCTGGGGAAAATTCCGGCGAAGGACCGTCTGAGGTTCGGTGTGCGGCTGATGGAAAGCTCCCCCCTGTCGCGCCAATTCCTCTATGATTCTGCCGATAGCGCCTTCGCCGGTGGCTATAATGAAGGGATCAAGGCCATCCTCCCAATCTTCGAGAAGCTCCTGGGCCCTGGCGTCAACCCAGCCGATCACACGGATGACGATCTACTGATCGAGGCCCTGGGGAAAATAGGGCGGGATAGACGCCGGGCGGCGGCCATAGCCATGGGGGATATCCCGGAGCCCCCAACCCCTGAGCCCGAGCCTCGGGAGGAGGAACATACTCATGCCAACAGCCGACCGCCGTCCCCCCACATGTGTTGATTTATCTCTTAGCCTAGAGTTATTGCAGTTCGTAGACTTGTAGTTTCCAGCCGATAGTGCTGAAGAATAAAGATCCACATTTTGCCAAAATTCGTTCCGTGCCTCGAAATATTCTGCTGCAAAGTAGTTTGTTAGGACGTCCATCCCTGCTCGTCATTTGACTTTGGGCAGGGACGTCTCCTTGCCCCCCTGGCAACAGCATTCTTGACGACGGTCGTCGGAGGCTGTTCAAACAGCACCTTTCCCAAGCGTGAAGTACGTTCGTCGGGGGCTGCCTCAATATTTCCTGACGATGTCCGTGTATGGTTGTATGGAAAGACGTGCGTGCCCTATTGGTAGCATGGACATGACCCTCCGATACCTCGATACCGAGGCCGGCCTGCCGTCCACACAGCATTTTTACAATTGGGGGACGTCCGTCGGTAATTGCTTCGATGGTACAGTTCTCAAGTGCGGACATATGGATGTGTTTCCCTGGAGAAGCGTCAGGTGGCGACGTTCGTCTACCGTTGTGTGTTGAAATTCGGTGACCGGAAAGACGAGCGTGGCCGGTTGATGCGTGTGTCCTCGCCAGTCGCCGATGTTATGGGCGGCCGATGAACTGTGCAAACATGGGAAGACGAATGTCTCCACAACCCTCCTGCGGGGACGTCCGTGGCATGGATCCGGATATCTTCGTGGTGGTTACGCGGCGACGAAATCGAGGTGCTTAAATATCGTGGTAGGTACCGGTACCCAGGCACCACGTGTCCCGCTTCGGTTGGTGTGTTCCGGCGGTGCTGCCTATAAGTATTCAGAGCCCATGTAATCCACTCATTCTTCTCCTTACGCTGCACAATTGTCTTCTCTCTCTAGGTTTCTCTCAAATCGTACCGGAAGTCCCAATTCCCAAAGGTACCGTTCGTTGCCATGTCTTCTGAAAATCGTTTCGACGATGGCTGTTCTTCCGGTGATGACTTGGAATATTATGAGCGGGGAATGCCACCCTGGCCTCCCCGTTATAGCCTCAGCTTCTCGTACGTTCGGCGTCAAGTTCAACGCCTGACGAACGCTGACAAGCGTCTGATCAGCCAATGGTTCTATCCTCCCAGAACCTACGACGATCGGCGTCTGCGCAACCCCATGCGCCACCTGCCCGGCTACGTGGTGGTCCACTTGGATTCGGTGGTAGCCGGGCTGAACTTTCCCCTGCATGGCTTCCACTTGGAACTTTTCAGGGCCCTCGAGATAGTACCCGCGCAGTTCGTCCCTGCCGCTTATCGGATAATCGCTGGCTTCATCATTAGATGCCACAGCGTCGGTGTGACCCCCACCGTGGACCTGCTGCACCATTTCTTCCGGCTGTCCCCATTCGGACGTACGGGGTATTTGACCCTGATAGCCCGTCCGTCCATGGTTCTCTTCTCGAACAATGCCGGGAATCCGGACGGATGGGAAGAGCGTTTCTTCCTAGCCGGGGTAGGCTCACCGATGCCATTCTCCGACCGGTGGAATGCTTACCCGGTGAAGACGATCCCGCCGCCCATGACGGACGAGGAGCTCGGGTATGCCAAGCGCATAGCCGGACTTGGCATCCAGAATCTCCGATCGCTGGTGGCCGAGCCCTTTAAAGCTCAGGCTGGGTTAGGTGCGTCCGTTTGTACTTGTATTGTTTTGACATCTCTTCGCTGTTATGGCTCTGAACGTCTTGGTTCCTTTTGTGCAGGAGTTTTCCCATCCACGTCCGTCATGAGCCGGATCAATACCGCTTCATCTGCCGCCGGTCGTGATCACAAGGGGCGCGACAATCCCGGAAAGCCGCTCGTCCCCAAGGTTGAGCCCCGGGTGACCAGGGCACGGGCCGATGAAACTTCGGGGGTCGGCGCCCCCAAGAGGCCGCGTGTGGAGGGCACTTCCTCCAACGCCATCATCTTGGCCGATGATTCTGATGGGGAGCCCGGAAGCCCCCTTAAGCGGAAACCCACTTCCCGGGCCCATCTCCGTGCTTCTCCTCCGCGGAATTCCGACGTCCGTCGTCTCCGGGACGATGATGCCCAAGCTGCCAAGGGTTTGGACGACGCTCGTCCAAACTCTCCCCCAGGAGCCAGTGAGTCTTCTCTTGGCCTGATCGAGTTCTCTGGGGTTGGGCCCCGCAAGGAGTCAATGATGCTCTTTGGTCAAACGGCGTCCTCTATATGGTGCGGCCTGAATCTCAAGGTTCCGCAGGACTTCGCTGCTCAGGAGGCTCCTGAAGATCTGTTGGAGTGCGGCCAGAGCACGCTGGACAAGGCTGGGCTCTACTTCCATAGGGCTCGGATGGCTTTCAAGCGCCAGGGCAGGGAGATGGCCAGAGTACGGGCCGAATGTGATGCCCTTCTGAGGAGTGCAAAAGGCAGGGCTGGCACCCTTCAAGAGAAGGCCGAGGCCTATGACAAGCTCGTTCAGGAGAATGCCTCTCAGAAGGAGCTTCTCAAGAAGCAGGAGGCCGAGCTCGTGGATCTCCGCAGCCGGATGTGGGCCGTAGAGCAGGCCAAGGTGGAGCTTCGCCAGACGGGCATGGACAACCATGTCCCTATTTATGAGGCCGATGTTGCCAAAATCAAGGAGTCTGGTTCCATTGCCTTCCAGAGGTCCAAAGCTTACACTGGTGCCATCCACACCATGGCCATGAAATTCCTCCCGAGGCTCGTCGGAGAATTTCTGGCCACCTGCCCGGACGCCTACCTGGACGGGGTCAAATTGCTCCAGGCCACCCCCACCGGACGGCGTTTCCTTAATGACCTTGCCGATGATACTTATCGCAAGGGTATGGTCGGGCTCGTAGCGGAGAATCTCCCCACGTTCGAGCGTCATTTCGGGGCTCCTTTCGATCCGGAGGCGGCTGGCTTCGACGTCCTGATGGCTGATGCCCATGCGGGAGCCCTTGAGCTGCTGAGAGAGCAGGCGGAAGCCAAAGCTAGTGAAGAATGCGTGCAGGCTCTTTCCAAAGTTCCAGCTCCGGACGTTGATCAAAAGTGATTTCCCGTTCATGACCTTGTACTTGCACAACTTTTCCATTATTTTCACTATCTTGTGATTTCCCGGCCGATAGTGCCGAAGAATAAAAATCATTCTTTGCTCCATGCTCGTCTGGCTCTTTTTTTTTTTTTTTTTTTTTTTTTTTTTTTTTTTTCGGAGTCTTTTAGTCTTCGTTCGTCCTTGGTCCCTGGTCCCACCGGCGTCCCCACTTCGAGGAGACGTTCGGTGTCCGCCGACATCACAAGGAGGAACAGGTTTATCTCCCTCGAGATTCCCCCCCTTTTTTCGTTCGTCCGTGGTCCTTTAGCCTTACCGACGTCTCTTGCTTCGACGAGGACGCTAGGTACCCAAAGAACTCGCAGGGACGAACAGGTCTACCCTCACGGGTCCCCGACTTTGTTATCCCACGTCCATCGATCCATGGTCATTTGTGGGATAAACAGGTTTATCTTGGCAGGCTCCCTTGGTTCGTCTAGCCCCCTCCGCGTCTCTACTAACCTCTACATCGAGAGGCGTTCGTCTTCGGTGGTTGGAGAAGATCTGGCACACCCGGACAAGATTCCCTTCTTCATAGGAGCTACCCCCCCTCTTCTCCCCATCTTTTTTTTTTTTTTTTTTTTTTTTTTTTTTTTTTTTGAGGGAGGCAATCATAGTCTTCGTTCGTCCTTGGTCCCTGGTCCCACCGGCGTCCCCACTTCGAGGAGACGTTCGGTGTCCGCCGACATCACAAGGAGGAACAGGTTTATCTCCCTCGAGATTCCCCCCCTTTTTTCGTTCGTCCGTGGTCCTTTAGCCTTACCGACGTCTCTTGCTTCGACGAGGACGCTAGGTACCCAAAGAACTCGCAGGGACGAACAGGTCTACCCTCACGGGTCCCCGACTTTGTTATCCCACGTCCATCGATCCATGGTCATTTGTGGGATAAACAGGTTTATCTTGGCAGGCTCCCTTGGTTCGTCTAGCCCCCTCCGCGTCTCTACTAACCTCTACATCGAGAGGCGTTCGTCTTCGGCGGTTGGAGAAGATCTGGCACACCCGGACAAGATTCCCTTCTTCATAGGAGCTACCCTCCTCTTCTCCCCATCTTTTTTTTTTTTTTTTTTTTTTTTTTTGAGGGAGGCAATCATAGTCTTCGTTCGTCATTGGTCCTTTGGTCCTACCGACGTTCTTACATCGAAGAGACGTTCGGTATCCGCGGACATCACAATGAGGAACAGGTATATCTGCATCGAGATTCCCTTCTGCTTCGTTCGTCCTTGGTCCGTGGTCCTACCGGCGTCCCTCCTTCGAGGAGACGTTCGGTATCCGTAGACATCTCAAGGAAGAACAGGTTTATCTGCATCGAGATTCCCTTCTTGTACGGTTGTTGGCGAGAACAGAAGTGGTGAAAAACAGGGGGCCTTATTATTGACGACGTCCGGTCATTTTACATTCAGTGGGAACAATACAAGGACAACGGCCTCTAACTATTGATAGAACTTCTTCAGGTGTTCTACGTTCCACACCCCGGCATGGTTCCCCTCCAGGGTACGGAGGAGGAACGTCCCCTGGTTGTATCTTCTGATGACCCGGTAAGGTCCTTCCCAGTTCTTCGCCATTTTGCCACCTTCGAGCGGCTTGCTCTTCTCTCTTTTCCTGAGTACGAGGTCCCCGGCCTCTATTTCGCGGAATTTCACGGCCTTGTTGAAGTATCTCTGGGTGGCCCTGTGATACTCTTCCATGCGACGAGCCGCTAGGTCCCTCCGTTCCTCAATGAAATGGAGCTCTGCTCGTAGGTTGGTCTCGTTGTCTCCCGGCTGGAAGTGCTTGGTGCGATGTGTAGGTACCAACACCTCCGTCGGCACCTTAGCTTGGAAGCCATAAGCCAAGGCGAAAGGGGTTTCCCCGGTCGCCGTTCTTGGCGTCGTCCTGTACGTCCACAAGACATAATTCAACTGCTCCGGCCAGGTGGAGGTGTAGTCTTCCAACTTCTTCTTGATCCCATCCATGATGGTCCGGTTCATGTTCTCCACTTGGCCGTTGGCTTGCGGGTAGGCCACCGAAGCCTTAGAGTGCCTGATGCCCCACTTTGCCAAGTATGCTTCAAAGCCTTTGCCGACAAACTGCCGACCGTTGTCTGTGATGATCTGCTCCGGGATCCCGAAGCGGCAAATGATGTTCTGCCAGACGAACTTCTGGCACTGGAATTCAGTGATGGAGGCCAATGGTTCGGCCTCGACCCACTTCGTGAAATAATCAACCGCCACAATGACGAACTTCCTTCCACCAGCAGCCGTTGGCAGAGGACCCAGCAGGTCTACGCCCCACCTAGCAAATGGCAGCGCGATGGTCATCGGGGTGTAGAAACTCGCTGGTCGGCCAGGGACAGGTGCATACTGCTGGCATACTGCGCACTTCCGCGTGTGGTTGAAGCAATCTTGCTGTATGGTCGGCCAGTAATAGCCCTGCAGGATGATTTTCCTGGCCAAGGTTCGGGGGCCCTGGTGGCTGGAGCAGATCCCTTCATGTATTTCCTCGATTACTGCCGCCGCCAGGCTCGGCGGGAGGCATCCGAGGTACGGTCCGCCGAACGTCTTCTTGTAAAGTTGCCCGTCAATAAGTTCAAAGTTAGGGGCACGCCTCTTTATCCACGCGGCCCTCCCTGTACTGTCATCACCTTCACGCTCGGGGAGTGTCCCATCTCTGAGATAATCTGCTATCTCCTTTGCCCAGTTAGGTTCGGCAATGGAGATAACCTCCACCTGGATGACGTCCGTCGCCGGTGCTGGGAATATCTCCTGCCTGACGAAGCCTCTGATGTGTCGGGGGATGCTTGATGCCGGGTCATCGGTTGGGGGGTTGCTTAGTTTTGACAGAATGTCCGCCTCTGTATTCTCCACCCGCGATACCTGCTCAAGCACCACCTGCTCAAATTGCGCGGTCTGTGCCTCCGCCAGCTCTTTGTAGACCTTCATTCTCTCCTCCCTGGTTTCTGCAGTGCCGGTCATCTGGGTTACTACCAGCTGGCTGTCCATTCTCACCTTCAGACGAGCTGCTCCGAGGGCTTTCGCGCATTTCAGCCCTGCGATAAGTGCCTCGTACTCAGCCTCGTTGTTGGTGACCTTGAACTCAAACTTCATGGAGTAGTAGGCTTTGAAACCTTCGGGGGAAGTGATCACTGCTCCTCCGCCGCAGCCCCGCGCACTCGAGGCCCCATCGGTGTACATCTCCCACCAATCGTCAAAGTCATTGTTGTCATGGGTTCTGTCCTCGGTGCGCGCGGTGCATTCCGCAATGAAGTCCGCCAGAGCCTGCCCTTTGATCGTCGGCCTCGGCTTGAAGTCCACGTCATACTGGCCGATCATCAAGGACCACTTGGTTATCCTTCCGCTTGCCATTGGGTTCCTGAGGACTGTGGCGAGGGGCTGAGTTGTGTAGATAGTCACCGGATGTGCCTGGAAATACGGCGCCAGGCGCTTGATGGATGCAATCAAGGCGAGGATCGTCTTTTCCATCAGTGTGTACCTTGTCTCGGGGCCGTTCAGCGCTTTACTTACAAAGTATATTGGCCGCTGAACGCCTTCGGATTCCTTTAGCAGCACGGCGCTTACGGCCAGCTCGGCCACCGCCAAATACATATACAATCTCTCCCCGGGATCCGCCTTGGTGAGGACGAGCGGAGAGGAGAGATATGCCTTGAAATCCTCGAAAGCAGCCTGACACTCCGGGGTCCATTGGAAGGGATTGGCCTTCTTCATGATCTGGAAGAAAGGGATCGCCTTATCGGCGAGCTTGGATAAGAATCTGCTCAGGGCTGCCAGACGCCCGGTGAGTCGCTGCACGTCTTTTAGGTTCTTTGGGGCCTCCATGTCCATAATTGCCTTCACCTTCTCCGGGTTAGGCTCGATCCCCCGCTCGCTCATCATGTAGCCGAGGAATTTGCCGCCCTTGACGGCGAAGGCACACTTTTTCGGATTGAGCCTCATGCTGGCCCTCTCCATGATGCTGAAGATCCTCTCCATGTCCTGGACATGGTCCTCCTTTTTCTTGCTTTTGATTAGGATGTCATCCACATAAGCTTCCATCGTCTTTCCAAGCACGTCTTTGAATAACATCCCAATCATCCTCTGGAAAGTAGCCATGGCGTTCCTCAGGCCGAATGGCATGACGATGTAGCAATACACGCCGTCCGCCGTGACGAACGCCGTTTTTTTCGGCATCATCGGGATGCATGAACACCTGATGGTAGCCTCTGAATGCGTCCATGAAGCTGAGCAGCTCGCAGCCCGCTGTCTCATCCACCAGCAAGTCGATCCTCGGTACAGGATAAGGGTCCATCGGACAAGCTTTATTGAGGTCCGAGTAATCGACGCACATCCGCCAAGTGTCGCCCTTCGGGGCTAGTACCACGTTGGCCAACCACTCCACGTGGATGACCGGCCGGATGTGTTTAATGCTGAGGAGAGTTGCTGTCTCCTTCCTGATGAACTCGCGTCGGTCGGCCGCCATATATCTTTTCTTTTGCTGTACGGGCTTGGCGTCCGACCGCACGGCGAGTCTATGGCATATGAGGTTGGGGTCGATGCCTGGCATGTCCTCCGGTCCTCTGGCGAACAAGATCCTGAACCTTCGGAGGACGGCTATGACCCCTGCCCTGATTTCCGGCTCTAGATCCGCGCCGATGGACACCTTCCTGTCCGTCGGATCGTCGAGCTCGATTTCCTCCAGCAGGGTTGCTGGTTCTAGATGAGCGTCCAAGTCGGCCTGTTTGGCCTTTTCGGAGATGCTGTTGACCCGAGCCTCCCGCTCGTTGAGCTTCTCCATGGCCTTCGTGTAGCAGGCCCTGGCCATATGTGGGTCCGTACGTGCCACCCCCACTCCAGTGTCGGTGGGGAATTTGATGCATGAATGTCGTACGGAGCATATGGCCCCCAAGTCTTCCAAGCCGGGTCGGCCCAAAATGGCGTTGTGGGCGCACCTTAGGCGGACCACGACGAACGTCATGCTGATCCGGGCAGTGTGAGGACCGTCGCCGACCTCTACCGGCAAAATGATGGTGCCCTCAGCGTCAATGCAATCCCCGGTGAAGCCGGACAGCGGGGTGCGTAGGGGGTGCAGCATGTCCTTCCGGAGCCTCATTCCTTCGAAAGCCTCCCAGTAGAGGACGTTCACAACTGCTCCCGGTATCAACGAGGACGCGACGGACGATAGCATCGTTCACGTCCATGCTGATCACCAGCTCGTCTCTGTGCGGCGCTGGTGACATTGGCAGGTCGGCGGGGCCGAAGGTAATTGCCTCGACTCTATTGCGCTTGGTGGGGGGGTGCCGATACGGAACCCACATAGAGTGATCTCTCAAATTTTTTCCGCTCGGCGGGTGTATCCCCTGTCTCAGCGCCCCCGAAGATCACCTTGATCTCCAACTTCTTTTTCTCGCCCTTCGGGCCGAGGGATCCCTCCGGACGTTTATCTGCACTTCGATAATCCACGTCCTGAGGTTCTGCCTCGCGCCGATCGTCGCGGCGCCATGTCTTGTGCCTTGAGTTCGGCTTCTGCTGGCTGTTTTTGTTCAGCAGCTGGGCGAACTCGCCCAGGTACCCCTGACGGATCAGCTCGTCGATCGCTTTCTTTAATTGGCTGCAATTATCCGTCAGGTGGCCGGTCCTCTGATGGTATTCACAGTAGGCCGATTGGTCGTGCCCCATATACCTCTTCATATCTTGGGGCTCCATAAGGAGGCCCTTGTCCTTAATGGCCTCGAAGATCTGGCTCACTGGGTAGGCCAAGGGAAAATAACGGTCGTCCGGCCGCGCTTGGCTGTCTCCGGACGGAGCCTTCCAAGGGACCATTGCCCCGTCCACCTTCTTCTTTTTGTTTGGGGGGGAGGGGTTGGTTCCTGGTCCGGGTCCGAGTCTGTCTGCCATCTTCCGTGGCTGGGCCGCGGGAATTCCGTCCCGCTGCCTGATCTCCTCCTCAATGGAGGCATACTTCTGGGCCCGAGCAAGAACCTCGGTGTAGCTGGTGCCGGGATTCCTCCTTAGGTCCCGGTATAGATCCCCTGTGGCCAGCGCACTGGTGAACATGTTGGCGGCCAGACGTTCGTCCAGATCGTCGACCTGCAGGACCTCGTCCCTCCACCTTACCAGGAACCTAGCCAGCGGTTCGTCCCGCCCTTGTTTGATGTGGGCGAGAGCCGTGACGTCCTTCCTGGGGGTGGTGCTGGCAGCAAACTGCGCCATGAACTGCTGGGAGAGCTGTTCATATGAGTCGATGGTGCCTGGCCTCAGCTGGCCGAACCATTCTTGCGCCGGCCCCCTGAGGGTGCTGAAGAACAATCTGCAGATGGCCTCGTCTGATGCTCCCAGCATGGACAGGTTCCCTTGGTAGCTTATCAGATGGGCCTTGGGATCGCCAGCCCCATTGTACAACAAGTTGCCCGGGGGCCTGCAATCCCGGGGAATCTCGACGCTCATCACCCGTGGAGTAAAAGGTGATGTGAGAGAGAAGGAGGGTGTGGTCGAGCCGACGTCCGCCCGCCTGTTCATCTCGGCTATCTGCCTCTCCATGGCTTCCAGCCGTGCGTCCTGTGCGGCCCTTCCGGGGGACACAGGGGGCGCGGCTTCGGGGACGGCGCTCTGCTGAGCGGCCACAGCATCGCGCGGCCGCCTAAAGATCTGCGTCCCCCGCCGTTGGAAACGTCGCCCAACGGTATTGATCCTTGGGGTCTCGTCCCCCCGCGGGATCTGGCGGGGGGCCGATGGCGTGTGAGCCCTGGATGCGGCAATGCTGGCCCTGGTTCGTCCTCCCGTTCCCTGGGAGCCGGAACCCTCGCCTAGCCGCTCGTGGACTGAGGGTCGATGATCGCTGGACCCCATCGTTTCATCATACGACTGCATGCGGCGAACGGGAGATAGGGGGGTTCGCTGGGTGCTTGCCGAGTACACTTGCTCTCGGGCTTCCCGTTCGTCCGCCAAACGGCGCATGGTGTCCGCAAGTTCCCGCATGAGGCGGGGATCCTGCCTGGCCTCAAGGGGAATGAGGTCGGTGATACCCCCGTTTCCCCCGGAGGTCCATATTGTTGCGGATCGTTCCGAGTTCTGGCCACGATTCCGGCGGCTTGACTCCAGACGTTCGGAGAGATCACGCTGGTTGTGGCTTCCTGACATTGTGCTTGCTGTGGGTAGATTTAGTAGCTGTTTGGGAGAGTTTCTGGAAACTTTTTGCTCAGTTTCCCACAGACGGCGCCAGTGTTGAGGTTTATTCCTTCAACCCTTGGACCCAACACGTAAGCCCAAAGATTTCGAGTGGAGTGAGTGTGTGGTTATCTAGCCCAACAACTATCAGATGAATCAGGAAACAAGAGTAATAGCAGGCAATGTAAATAGGTATTATTAACTTCGTAATAACTCCCCTAAGTACAATCTACTTGCTAAAAAGGGCACGTCGGCCGTTCGTCTTACAAGGCGATAGAAATGCTACTCGTAAGAATGCTGGAGCTAGTATGCTAAGAATAGAAAGTTGCCAACCCTTTACAATGAAATAAATGCTTCTATTTATACCCGCCAATGGGCAGGTGGCTGTACTGACGTGGCAGCCTGTGGACCGCTGGTGTCCCAACTACCAAATCTTTAGCATTAAATGCACTTCCCGCCAGAATCTAGGTTTCCCGCCGGATCAGTGGGGACGTTCGTCCACCCCGGAAGTGAGTTGGATTGCTCCAAGTGACCCTTGAGGGATATCGGCTGTTCGTCGCCTGGCCTTAATAGATACTCACCATGTGCACTGGGTTTTCCTCGATGACCACAGGCTTGCTCCGGGGACGTTCGTCGCCATCCCCGCTGGCCCGTGGTTCTGCTCTTTGTCTCTGCACAGACGTTCGTCGGAATGAGCTGCTGGGCCTGAGTCCCCCAACACCAGACGTTCGTCCATCCTCAAGAGACATGGGCCTGTGGGCTGGCCTGGTTTCTAGCTGGACGTTCGTCTGGCAAAATGGGTTAGTGGGCCGGACCTCGGCTTGGGCCCTTAACCCAACAAATTCAAATAATATTTTTTTGTTCTCTATTTGCATTTACATCTAAGTCATGTTTCAATTAAAGCTCATCAAGCAATGAAATGAAAAATTATAGTATTCCATTATTTTCCATACTCCCGAAACCATCTTTATCAATGTTACACATGTTGTGGTCGCTTGGGCGGCTACTGAATTTTCGTCATGTCGTGTATCAAATAAGGGGTTATAGGTTCGGATACGCATATCGGTTCACAAATGCGGGTATCGGATGTATCGATATTTTTAAAATTAAGTCCAATACTTTTATTAAATTATGGATATGGACCCAATACGTACAGGACGCGTATCGGTGAGTATCGGATACGGATACGTATCGGATACGCGAATACGGCATCGAGGTGAAGTATCGGTGCAACATAGCTCCACTGTATATAAAAAGGCACTTTTATTATTATTATTACGTAATATTTTTTTAATATAAAAAGTTGACATGAGATTCACAACAAACCAAGTTATTGATTGAAGTTGAACTTAGATTCTCTCTTATGACACTCTCTTCCTATAAAGTGAGATATGTTTCTGTTACCACGTCTTATCATTGTTATTCTTTAGTAGTCATGTCCTTAATTTTTTTTGCCCGTATGACTGGTGTGTTTACACTTGGTACTCTGGCACTTGTTAAAACCTACATAAAAGCACCCTATTAATTTTACCCGTTTTTTTTAATAAGTAATGTTGAGTTTTTTTATTATTGATAAAAATATATTTTTTCAATCGTTTAACATATTCAGTCAATCTAGGTAACACTAAGTCAAATTTTATCAATTTTTACATTGCAACAAAATAATGTACTCATAGTTCTTTCGGTTCTAAAAAGTTTCTGGCGTTTAAAAAAGTTAAAATCTTGCATTTAGCTTTTCATATTATATCATTTAAAAAAGTAGATGATGAATAGTGGAGAATGAAAAAAGAGTGTAATGTAGGTGAATAAAATACGAGTATAACGGTAATTATTTAAGTACTACGTAAAAAGTTACCAACTATGAACGTTAAATTTTAATTTGAAAGTTATTTTGAAGGGAGCAGTAACTCTAATTACTCTGCAACTAAAAAAGGGGACAACGAAATGAATAATGCTGAGCAATATCATGTTAAAAAGCCGCTGTTATCATTGCTGTGAAGTGGAAAACCGCATTTCCTGGAAAAGATGAAGACACATAGTCTGCTCCAAGTCTCCAACTAACAAATAGGAATGCGTAACTTTTTTTAAACATAATTAGGAATTAGGAATGTAATTACAATTTCTCAATTCCCAAGTTGCTTTTTTCACATCAACAATTAAATAAAAAAATGACAATGTTGAATCCATGGTCGCAACAGCTGCTTTGCCTCAATAATAACAGTTTCTTCTTGGTTTTCGTCGTCACGACGACGACGATGGCGATTATAGAATTAATAACCGCCAACGGCGGCGGCAGAGCGGCTGCTGCAAATCTCTGTCGCGAATCATGCGGCACTTCCTCCGCCGTGAAAATCGAATATCCTTTCGGCATAGACGGCGGGTGCGGGGCCCCACAGTACAAAGGCATGCTGAACTGCAACGGCACGGCCGGCCTCTTCTTCGCAACCCCGTCCGGCAGCTACAATGTGGAGGCAATAGACTACCGGAGCAGAATCATGACCATCTCCGACCCTTCCATGTCAAATTGCTCCCAGCTCCTGCCCCAAATCCACCACGATTTCGTCCTCCAATCCGCCGTCATCTCTCCCTCGCACGACACCGTTTTGGCGATCCTCAACTGCTCCGTCAATTCCCCTCTCCTCAACAGCAAAAAGAAGCTCTGCTCCACGGATCTGGCATCCGCCTCCGGCGGCGAGACTTGCGACAAGCTGTACGGTACCTGCGATGCATTCCGAATCTTCGAGCAGGGAAACACCACGCCGCCGTGCTGCTACACCACCTACGCCACCCTTGAGTATATGAACATTGACAGGGATGGATTTAGGTGGGGGCGCGAGGGGCGACCGCCCCTTGGACTTTCAAAATTTTCTACCATATATGTAATATTTTTATAAAACTTTCATAATTTAATTAGATTCGCCCCCCTTAGCTTTTAATTTTCAAAATTAATATATAGTGTTACATAATGTAATACGTAATTGAAGATTTAAAAGAAGGAACATCTAAAATAATTTACATAACTTAAACAAATAAACAATAGAATAACTCGTTGTTTAAGATTTAGGATACTTATTATATAAGAATTCCTAGTTTTGTAATGTTTAATTATCTTTATTAGATAACAAGTACTCGATTTTGTAAAATATATATCAAACAATATTATATATCAGACACACTAATTACACAGTTTTTAGATCACGTGAAATGAATCCAAAATATAAATGTTTATTGACATTGAATTACATAATTCATTTACTTCTTGCTTTCTAAAAATAATTTATTGCTGTTGAGGTTTTGTCCCGCAGATCCGGAAGTCCAACATAAACTTCGGATATTAAGGACGATGGATTCGGTATAAACATAAATAAAATATATATATGGTGTATGAACTAGCTATTTTTACGTGGAAACCCGAAAAGGGAGAAAACCACGGGACTTTTTAGGCTAACGTCCAAGCCCGCTCTTTTTCATTCATCTGCTCTCCTCACCATTTACATATTACAACTCTTGAACTCCATTAATGGAGGTATAAAGCTATCTATCAAAGGGGAAGAAGAAGTATGGAGGAGGAGAGCCAAAAGATCCGATCCCTTAATTAGGAGGCTTCGCCTCCTATTTATAGAAGGGGAGGGGGGTTTTTAGGGTTATGCTAATGGGCCAATGGGCCTAAATGGGCCGGTTGGGCCTAAATGATCCTTGCTAACTGGGCCCCGTATCGGGGCGGTGTATTGGGCCTCTGAACAGTAGTAGGCCGGGGTAATATACCCAACACAAGTCCCCCAGTTTCTTGAGTAGTGAGCCTGTGAATCTGCTCGAGAAAGTATACTCTTGCTCACGTCCTTCCTTGAATCAGTGCTTGAATAGTCTTGGACGCAAGGCATGCATAAATGATGAACGAGGTGCAGTCCCTCGCTAGGCACGGCGGCGCTGAAAAGCCAGCCGCTCGTGCTGTATAAAGCGGCGGTCGCCATCCCAGATCAAGGATGGACGAGCCCGATCGAGAGCCAGGCACGACGGTGTTGTGGAGACCGTGCGTGCTGCATAAGAGCGACGGTTGCCATCCCAGAGCAAGGATGGACGAGCCCGCCAGAAAGCCAGGCACGACGGTGCTGTGGAGCCCGTTCGTGCTGCATAAGAGCGACGGTTGCCATCCCAGAGCAAGGATGGACGAGCCCGCCAGAAAGCCAGGCACGACGGTGCTGTGGAGCCCGTTCGTGCTGCATAAGAGCGACGGTTGCCATCCCAGAGCAAGGATGGACGAGCCCGCCAGAAAGCCAGGCACGACGGTGCTGTGGAGCCCGTTCGTGCTGCATAAAAGCGGCGGTCGTCACCCCAGATTAAGGATGGACGAGCCAAACCGAGAGTAAGGCACGACGGTGCTGTGGAGCCCGTGCGTGCGGTATAAGAGAGATGGTCGCCATCCTAGATCAAGGATGGACGAGCCAATCCGAGAGAAGGGCACGACGGTTTGTTTTTCATATGCCACAGGTCAGCACCAAAATTGAGGTGCAAGCCGTTCGGTTAATTTCTGTCGGTTGTTCTTTGTTTCCTGAACGCGCAAGACATAATGTTTAATGCTTTCTGCGCCCCCGAGCACCATGTTTCAGATGCATGCCGTCCGGTTTGTTACCGTCGACTGGTTGTTCCCTGAACGCGCAAGTCATCAATGTTTAATGCTCGCTGCGCCCCCGAGCACCATGTTTCAGATGCATGCCGTCCGGTTTGTTACCGTCGACTGGTTGTTCCCTGAACGCGCAAGTCATCAATGTTTAATGCTCGCTGCGCCCCCGAGCACCATGTTTCAGATGCATGCCGTCCGGTTTGTTACCGTCGACTGGTTGTTCCCTGAACGCGCAAGTCATCAATGTTTAATGCTTGCTGCGCCCCCGAGCACCATGTTTCAGATGCATGCCGTCCGGTTTGTTACCGTCGACTAGTTGTTCCCTGAACGCGCAAGTCATCAATGTTTAATGCTTGCTGCGCCCCCGAGCACCATGTTTCAGATGCATGCCGTCCGGTTTGTTACCGTCGACTGGTTGTTCTTTGTTTCCAGTCATGAACGTCTACGCGCTTCATGCCGTCCGTTTTTTTTTTTTTTTTTTTTTTTTTTTTTGCTGAGATGATGGCTCCCCATGGATCGAGACAAGTGGTATCTATCGATCGAGGTGAGACTTTACGGAATGTGAAGATGCCTCCTAAGCAAATAATGTCGTGCCGCGGGGCTGATCATGATATGAAGACATGAATAAATCCAAGGGTCTCGCGAGCGCCCTCTGCTCAAGGACAGCGGCAGCAACTGCGGTAGCGGTCCACAAAATGTAGCCATGATGAAAGTCAAGCAACGCTCCTCATCCGCGCAGTGCGGGGACGAGGCCGCTTTTCAAAGATGATAAACACGTAGTGCCGACAGGCCGATCGTGATATGATGATGTCGGCAATGAGAAGCCAACCCGAAAATCAAGCAACGGTCCTTATCCGCGTAGTGCGGGGACAAGGCCGGTCTTCAAAATATGATAATGGCATCGTACCAGAGGGTCGGTGGCCATGTAATGAGGTCGCCACTGGAGGCCGATCGGAAAGGAACAAGTAACGGTCCTTATCTGCGCAGTGCGGGGACAAGGCCGGTCTTCAAATATGATAATGGCACCGTACCAGAGGGTCAGTGGCCATGTAATGAGGTCGCCACCGGGGGCTGATCGGAAAGGAACAAGCAACGGTCCTTATCTGCGCAGTGCGGGGACAAGGCCGGTCTTCAAATATGATAAGGGCACCGTACCAAAGGGTCGGTGGCCATGTAATGATGTCGGCGCTGGGGGCCGATCAGAAACAAATAATCAACGGTCCTCATCCGTGAGGATCAGAAATGAGGCCGGTCTTCCAAATGATCATCACGCCGAGCCAGGAAGATCAGTCGTGGTGAAAGGAAAGTCAGCGTTGGGAGGCCGATCTGTAAATCCGAGGGTCTTACAGGCGCCCTCAGCCCATAATGTTGCTTTAGGTGCCGAACGGCGGAGGCCGGATTGCCAGTCAGGTAGCGTAATCTGAAAGCTCGTGTATCGTACAGTCCATAGGACTTCCCTTCATGTGTTGTGATATCTATACATTTGTAGTCCCTTCTTTTCTCAATCGTCCGTGATTCCTTCTACACACTTTAGCCTCATTCTCTCTCTCTCTTTTTTTTTTTTTTTTTTTTTTTTTGCTGCTTTTTTTTTTTGTCCGAATCACGAATATCCCTGCGTTTCACAATCTCCCCGTCCGAACTGGTCGAACGGCTCTAAATGTAAATATTCCTTCTTTTTGTTGCCAATCATGAGCGTCTCTGCGCGTCACGTCGAATGTCATGAACATCTCTGTGCGTCATGATCTCCCTGTTCGGGCTACCCGAACGGCTTTGAATAAATGTGATTCTTTTCTTGTTGCCGGGCATGAACGTCTATGCGCTTCATGATCTCCCCGTTTGAGACTATCGAACAAATTTCACTGCACAATAAGCATGGTAATACGGCCGTACGGCCGAACCACATATACAAGTATATACATACACATGTATAACATTTCTTTTGTATTATTTTTTATTCATGACTACCGGCCGAAGTGGTAATAATAACCCTTGGCCTAGATTTATTGTTTGAACTGCCCATATGCTTTCAGAACCACCTAGTGGTTTCCCGGGCGTTCTCAGGAAAGCTTTCAGCTAATTAAAGTACGTATTTCGCCCCGTAGTGGGTATAATTGTCGACCTGGCATTTAATGCCGATCGGGGCCATGAATGGTCCCTAAACATGTCACCGGGCTACGCCCTTGTGAGACGGTTCAGTCAGCTAGTTTGAACCGACACGCCCAGTCAAACCAATCATTTAAAAAATGTTGGTGATTTTATCAACAAAACTTCGTTCTCTCTTATTCTGTTCGGGAACTTTAACCCCTATTAAGTAATGGTGTGTGCAATTAATAGTAAGAATACTATTTAATCAACCAATGAATACTCTCATGCATGAGTACTTGGTGCGTTGTCGGAGTAATACCATTCGGGGCACTCCGATCGCCTATATTTAGCCGATCGCGGGTTGGCCGGTCGGCCCATTAAACCAAATCATTTAAAAGTGATAATGGACTTGTCACTGGAGTCTCGCTCGGTCATTATTCAATTCAGGAAATTTAATCTCTACTAAACAAATAATGGCGATGTGTAATTAATAGTAAAATTACTACATCATTTAATTTAATATTTTCATGGATGTCCGGCCTTACTGAGCGGGTCCATAGATACTCCGACCGCTAACTCAGACCGATCGGAAACAGGCCGACCCTACCCACAAAAGGTGATCATACAATTTAAAATGGTTGATGGGTCTGCCAGTACAATTTTCGTCCAACATTATTTATCTAGGGAATTTTAAATCCCTGGCAAATAATTTATTCAGGAACTAATAGCAGTGATATCATCTAGCAATTAACACTTTAATGTATGAGTGTAGAGAACCATAGTACTTGGCACTTAGCTGAATTTGGCTGAATTTCAGCTGACAGATCATGATACTGAAATACCCATGCCACTTTAACATTTTATTAGTTAATAAAAGAGTGAGATACGTGGTACTTAGCTTTGTGGATGCATTGGACTTGGAATTCTGTAGAAGATATGCCCGTCCAGGAAGCCTTATTTGGAGCAAATATGACCCAGCCCACTGTCATGGATTGAAATTGGTTTGTTTGGCCGTGATCAAAGACGAGTTACCGATCGGGAAATTGGTCGATCAAGATTCCCACGAAGTGCTCGAAAGCCAGACGGACCGTCACAAAAGACGGGGCCTAGACTCGCCGCTGACCACAGAGATGCCGGACGGTGGCTTACCGGAGCCGTGTAGGTGGCCCTATTTTGATTTGCCCTGGTTTCCCAATCATACTGGTCGGTGCGAACCGAACGGGGAGGTGATCGCCTGGTAGGACCCCGAGCCCGGTGGTTCCAGAATCTTGAACGGTAAGTGCCGCACGATATAGAGGAACGGCTTAACCAGTTGATGGTCGGCAGGCTGGAGACCGAGGTCTTTCTTTGTTATCACCGCTGGTTTGTTTGAACGGGATCTTGTATTCCTGCCAGAACGGGAACTGGTTGGTCTCGAAGCTAGGTGGTGTTGTAACAGAATTCGGGGCGCCGGGGTGCAGGAGTTTCTGTAATTTGAAACTGGCATAAGGTATGTAGACCCCATTTTTCCTGGACCTTCCTTGGTGCGTAGTTTAATTTCCCGTTCGGGGTAGAGACTATCTGGATCCCTTAAAACTCCGGTGAAGCTAAACCATGCCCCTCCGAACCCTTCCCGCTCTGGAGAAGCAATACTGCGGATGACAAGGTGTAATTGCGTGATCCTTCGTCGTTACCCTGTTCCAGTGCTAAGTCCCGTTCGGGTTGTAACTTGTAAGTTCTGGTTGGTGGGAAGGAAAACGTACCGACCGGGGATCGCCGCCGGGTGGTGGCTATGAATGCCACGGAAATCCAGGCCGTTCGGGCAAGGATTATGGCCGTTCCTTCATGAGTCATGACTTCTTTTATGTTGTACAGGTCCCACTCTTGGTTCAGGCCACGCTTGGACAAGGAGCATATTCAGCAGACACCTCCCGTTCAGGCCTCGCTATGTTGGGATGGGTACTCTTTTCTGTTGATATGTGTAGCTTTTCCTGCAGGTTCCACAGATCGATCGGGCATTTATCCCCTCCAGGTAGAGTTTTGTTCGGGAGTTCCCGCTCGGCGTTCGGGATGTGGTTACTGGGAGTATAGAACAATTTGGATAATCATGAATTTACCACATCACCCACTTGTATTGCCAACTCATCCCCTATTGTCAGGCTTTGTCATGCTTGTTTACTGGAAATATAGGATAATTTGCTCTTATCCTCTCTGCAAGGTATTAGGAATATGGGTCCCACCTCCAGTATTCCTCTTCCATCAATAGGTCTTTGAGACCATCCTCCTTGACATGTGATTCGGCCTTACGGATGACTTTTAGGATGTAGCAGTAGCAATTTTAGGACAACAACCAGGCTGCTAAACGGGATCTGGGATTTCTTCTTTGTTTTTTGTTTTTCGAGATTTGTTTCTTCCTTCCTCTTTAGTTTCTTGATCCAATCAGTAGTTTTTGGCATCAAAAAAATTGTAGAATCAAAAAACATGAATCTTTTTTAAGCGTTTCCCACAGACGGCGCCAATGTTGAGGTTTTGTCCCGCAGATCCGGAAGTCCAACATAAACTTCGGATATTAAGGACGATGGATTCGGTATAAACATAAATAAAATATATATATATGGTGTATGAACTAGCTATTTTTACGTGGAAACCCGGAAAGGGAGAAAACCACGGGACTTTTTAGGCTAACGTCCAAGCCCGCTCTTTTTCATTCATCTGCTCTCCTCACCATTTACATATTACAACTCTTGAACTCCATTAATGGAGGTATAAAGCTATCTATCAAAGGGGAAGAAGAAGTATGGAGGAGGAGAGCCAAAAGATCCGATCCCTTAATTAGGAGGCTTCGCCTCCTATTTATAGAAGGGGAGGGGGGTTTTTAGGGTTATGCTAATGGGCCAATGGGCCTAAATGGGCCGGTTGGGCCTAAATGATCCTTGCTAACTGGGCCCCGTATCGGGGCGGTGTATTGGGCCTCTGAACAGTAGTAGGCCGGGGTAATATACCCAACAATTGCATAGATAATAAACTTTAAATTATTATAGCATTAATACAAATATTGAAATATAATATGCACCATATATATGTTTGTGTATGTGATGCATATTGTTCTAAAAATAATAATATCATAAATACTACTCTCTCCGTCCCTAAATAAATTTCCAATTTTCCTTTTTTGTCCGTCCCAATTAAAACTTCCACTTTCCCTTTTTGGCCAGAATTTGTGGTTCACAACAATTCTTACACATTTCTCTCTCCTCTGCACAACTCTCCACCACACAATACCCCACTATCTTAAACTCTGTGCCAAACCTATTTGGAAGATATAATAGGGACGGAGGGAGTACTATTGTAATATTAAGAAAACTTCTCATGAGTCATGACTCATGAACATCCTCCTTGGTGACCAGACAAAAATTACAATTCAATAATAACTGATTCATGAGGTTTAACAATGTAGAAGTTATTAAAAATGTATTGATTGATGTCTTTGTCATCGTCTAATTTAAACTTAGAATGTACTACGTAATAGATTTAAATGTCGTTGGGGATGTGTATGTATTAATGTCATTTTTTGAATAAAAATAGCCGCATAGCCCTACAGTAGCGGAAAAAATTCGCTCCGATACACTAGGGGAAAAAAATTCGCCCCACTACACTAACGAAATTTTTTTCACCCCTACACTAACAAAAAATTTCGCCCCCTTGAATCGAAATCCTGGATCCGTCCATGAACATGGAGATGCTTGACTGCACGCATTATACCAGCTTTTACATGATAGATGGGGACGGCGGCGCTGAACGGCATTACGGAGTGAAGCTGTCATTCGGCCTCCCACCAGACGCCGCGGGCTGTGATCGCTGCACCGCATCTGGCGGAACCTGCGGCTTTGACGTAGACACACTCGGGCCCACCTGCATCTGCTCTGCTGCAATTAATTCCACGTCACTACATTGCGGTATTTGATACTCCCTCCCATCATTGTACTTTAATCATTTTTCATGCCTTTTGCTTCTTTCTAACACAAAATTCCTTAATTAAATAGGAGTAAAAGAAAAGAAGAATAAAGTTCATGGATACTACATTAGTTTCAAAAATATTTCCCCATTTGATTTGGTACACTTATTAAAAAAGAGAAAATAAGGTGGAATGTATGATTGTGATTGAGTAAGAAAAAGATAAATGAACGTGAGACACGCTAAATTTTCCAAAAAGGGAAATGAAAATGAATATTTTGGGATGTCCCAAAATAATAAGTGAGAAGAATTTTATAGGACGACGAAAAGACTAACATGATTACTCCATATTACCTACTCCGTAGTACGTAGTAGTTTATTTTCATAGTCAGATTTATGAACTCATATTTCAGGATATTTTAAGGTAAAATTCTCCGAAATAAGAGAAAAAAGGTTTTGGATAGAATTTCACATGACCACATATATGATTAAAAACTATCAATTTTAGAAAATAGTGACATGGTTAAAGTTTGATAATGTAAAAACAGTCTTACTTTGAAATTTTAGAACACATTTATCCCTATACACTACAAAAAAACACGGTCGTAGTCACGGACTTAGTCACGGACAGCAGTTCAATTTTTCCGTGACTAAATGATTTAGTCACGGTCGCTGGCCGTGACTAAATCCGTGACTTAATGGGCGTGACTAAATTGAAGTCACGTCCAACGGACCGTGACTAAATTTAGTCACGGACTAGTCACGGTCAGACGCCGTGACTATAATACCCGCCGGAACCCCACTCCGGCGTATTAGTCACGGTCAGAAACCGTGACTAAGTTTTTTTTTTTAAAATTAATTTTAGTAGTCACGGCTTTGGACCGTGACTAATATTTCAAATTTTCAAATTGAGTAAAAGACCGCCCTCGGCGGTAATTTAAAATTTTGAAATTAGTCACGGTTGTCGACCGTGACTAATTATTTTTTTATTTAAAAAAATAATAATTTCGGATTAATAATAGTCACGGATAAGCCCGTGACTACTTTTTTTGTTTTTAAAAAAAAAAAAATCCAGTTTTCGTTTTTTTTTTTTTAAATTTTTTTAAAAATTACTTTTTTAAAAACGGAAGTTTACAAATTAAATTTCAAAATGTTTTTTAAAAAATGAGTTATTGAAAATATTATACTATTTTTTTTAAAATAAATACATTTTAAGAATAAAGACATACAACAAATTCAATAAATATTGTGACAAACTTTTAAAAGTTTTGAAATACAACAAATAATAAATGTATGATGATTACATGTCCCGTGGGACTCCATTATGATAAAAATTGGGATTTTCTTCTTCTTCTTCTTCTTCATCATCAACAAGAAACTCATCTGGGTTCACGGGGGGGTCTTCAGGGTCAACTCGGGTTCCTCCTCGGGGTGCTCCTCGGGGTCCTCCTCGGGGTGCTCCTCGGCCTCCGTGGCTCGGCGTGCCACTACCTCCTCCGGATGACCTCGCAAAATCAAAGGACATAGAACCGAAATTCGGGGAGATCATAGGCATGCCACCATATCCGGAGTTGGGGAAAAATCCCATACCGCCCATGTGCGGAACTTGAGGAGTTTGCTCAGGGTGGAATACGTACGGGGGAGGAAAAGGCTGTTGCGGAGGCTGGAATCCAGCACGCATGTACCGTTCCATCTCCTCCAACCGGGCTTTTGTAGCAGCATCTGCTTTCCGCTGCTCCTCCCATCGCCGTTCGTGGTCCTCCAGTTCACGCTGCATTGTGGCAATACGGGGATCTTCTCCCCGCCTTGACCGAGAAGAGGAAGCGCCGGTGCTTCGATCATACAAAATCCGTTGCCCCTCGGCCCCTAAGCACGGAACCCGGCCCTTGTAAACCCCGGCCGCCTCAATGGCCGCCTCATCATCCGCATCGGAATCGAGGTCGTCCTCCTGGGTCAAGCCTCGTGCCGCACGCTGTCTGTCGAGGGATTCGTTGTACTTCGTCTGCATTTTCAAAAAGATTTTTTAAATGCTACATACTTAGATTTTAAATGTTACTAAATAACAAAATATGATGTTACATACTTCGAAGTCAGCGAGGCGGGGTGGCAAATCGGCTTCAGATTCCTCGCCGTGCTTCGTCCAGCAATGCTTGACGAGCCGGAGAACATCAACCTTCTTCTTCTCAGGACCAGCCTAAATGGTGTGAAAAAGACTTAAATTAAATTTTTTATAATAAAGGAATGTGATGTTGTAAGGTTTTTTGAATAGCACTTACAAGAGTTTCTTTATGGGCATTCTGAGATTTACGACCTCCGTGCCACTGCATCTCCAAGGCCTTCTCGGACATCCGGTTTTTCTTACCGGATTCACTTCTGGCCAAGAATTTCGGATCAGAAGACCAGTGGCGACAAAGGTTGGACCACACTTCATCCGAAACCCATCTAGGCTTTTTCCCACTTTTTCGCGCCCGTTTAAAAGTGGCGCGAAGCCAGGTCGAAATCCTAGCATTGTAGGCTTTAAGAATATCGGCACCGTGTGCGTGAGTCCAACGATAGCGAGCCTTTATTAAAACAAATTGGATTAATTAATCACCAGGTATATATTAGGCCAATACAATCAGGAAGGGAACATTCATTTATTTTTACCTTGAACAGGTTCCACCATAGTTCGCGAACCTTGGGGTCAACATCTGACAGTGTGGCCCAAGTGCCAAGAAAGTGTCCTCCGATGATGTTTTTGATGCCCGTGAACACTTGTTCGTCACTTAAAAAAATTAATAGTATTTATTTATATAAGATTTGGTTTGATTATTTAACATTATATAAAATTATTGAAAATAAGGTTTTTCATAACTGCTTACAAAAGAACTTCTGCAGGCGTCACCCAAACAGCTCCATCATTGTTGCGCTCCGCTTCGGACATAGGCGCATGGTTAGGGCGGGGAGCCGAGGTCGATTGTTCGTTGCTCATCTAAAATATATTAATTTATTTTGTTTTTTGTTAGAACGCTTATAAAAGTTTGAGGTGTGCTTACTAAAGGTCCATTAAAGTTTGGGGTATATTTATTATTTTTTACTATAAAAATTTATACAAGTATTATTAATTGAAAATGTGTATAGCATATTAAACTATTTTTAGTTTAATATGAGGGGTCCATATTTTTTCATAATAAGTTCTTAAATAATTTGGTAATAAATTGCACTTGGAGGTAACATGTTAAACTTTTTGCAAAGTTTACATGAGAGGAGATCATTTTTTTATGTTTTAGATATATCATTTTAAAATAAATTTAAAACAGTTTGTTAAATCAAGTTTTACAAAAAACTATTTTTAAAAATAATCTGTTTAATAAAAGAGTTTTTAAAACAGTTGTTATTAAAACAGTTTTTACTAAAACAATTTTTATTAAAACAGTTTTTATAAAAACAGTTATTATAAATACAGTTTTTATAAAAACACTTTATATTAAAACAGTTTTTATAAATACTGTTTTTTAATAAATACAGTTATTATAAATACAGTTTTTATAAAAACAGTTATTATAAATACAGTTTTTATAAATACTGTTTTACAAAAATCTGTTTAATAAAACATTTTATATAAAACAGTTTGTATATATCAATTTTTGTAAAACCGGTTTTTTTAGATAAATTATAAAAACAGTTTATATTAAAACAGTTTGTATAAAAACAGTTTTTATTAAAAACAGTTTTTATAAAAACAGTTTTTATTAGATTAATTTTAAAAACAGTTTATATAAAAACAGTTTGTATAAAAACAGTTTTTATTAAAAACAGTTTTTATAAACACAGTTTTTATAAAAACACTTTTTATTAAAACAGTTTTTACAAAAATTTGTTTTTGTAAAATTTGTTTTTATAAAATTTGTTTATAAAAATTTGTAAAATTAGAATTAAACATGTTAAGTTTGTGAAAGCTTAACATGAGGGGGCAATTTTTTTTTTAATATTTCGGGTTAACCATTGAGAGGCATGCATATCACACACTAATCATATATATTAAATATTATTAATCATGCATAAGAACATATA